TATATATATATATATATATATATATATATATATATATATATATATATATATATATACTTGTTTCTCTGTGCAGCGGCCTTGTTTGTTGAGGTTTATGTTTCCGAATTATAGAGTTGAGAGAGTATTGTAACCATATATCAACTATATATATATACATATATATAGGTTCGGACAGGAATGGCATGCGATCGATGCTATTGCTGACCACCATGATTTTATTTTTGACAACTTGACCACGACTGTTAAGATGATTTTAAAACATTTTAAAAATGCGCTGAAAAATGAAATTCTAGCTAAATTTAAACTAGGAAGAAAATTAAAAATATATAATGAAAAAAGAAAATAATTCTTTATGAAAAAGAAAATATATTATTACTAGAATAAAACTAAAAAAACTCAAATCGAAGCGAAATTTACTTTTTGTTACGTTTTTAATTGCGTTAAAAATAAATTACTTGAAAATTTTTCTTTAGAAACATTTTATTTTAGTTACGCAAAACGCTTTTATGATTACTTCTCAGGATTGTTTAATGAATAAATAAATTTTATTTAAATAATTAAAAAGTGTTAAATCTATTATTTTTAAATTTAATAAAAATTTATTTTTTTCAAAATATTGCAAAAAAAAAAAAAAAAAAAAAAGTTTTAAAAAATACCGTAGTCTATTTAAAATATTAAATTTTAAACATTTAATGCTTTGATTAATTAGTCAAATTTAAAAAAAACAAAAAAAAGCAAGTAAATATATCATTCGATTGCAACGGAAAGTTTTATTGAAGTTATTCATAATTTTAAGTAACTTATAAAATTCTCTTTCAAAAGATATAGAAAGACATGAAAAAATAGTTTTAAACAAATTATTATATTTATCATTAAAAAAATACATGAAAATACATTTATTTTAAAAATACATTTATTTTAAACAATCAATAAAATAATTTTTTAATTTTATTTAAAGCCTTTGTGTAAAATAAAAACTTTAGAAAAGATCAACGATTAAAAGTTATATACAATGTAACAATTTTTTTTTTTATAGCATTTAAATAGTTAAAACATCAAAACTGCCATGGTCAAATTGTTAAGAAAAAATATTATAAGCGTGGTCAGTTACAGCATGCCATTCCTGCTTAAGCCTCTCTCTCTATATATGTATATATATATATGTATATGTATATGTATATGTATATGTATATGTATATGTATATATATATATATATATATATATATATATATATATATATATATATATATATATATATATATATATATATTCTGATGAGCCTGATGATTTTTTTCTGATGAGTCTTTGTTGATGAAACACAGTGTAAAATAAAAAAAAATTTTTGTTAAGTGATTTTCTACTAATATATATATATATATATATATATATATATATATATATATATATATATATATATATATATATATATATATATATATATATATATATATATATATATATGTATATGTATATGTATATGTATATGTATATGTATATGTATATATATATATATGTATATGTATATGTATATATGTATCTCTATATATATATATGTATCTCTATATATATATGTATATATATATATATATATATATGTATATATATATATATATATATATATATATATATATATATATATATATATATATATATATATATATATATATATATATATATATATATATATATAGAGAGAGAGAGAGAGAGAGAGAGAGAGAGAGAAAGAGAGAGAGATATTAGTTTATATTTTGTGTATCAATTAATTTTTATATTATGTGTACAATATTGTGTTTACAATATTATTAATGAAAATTCTTTAGAAAAATATTTATGAAATTTCTTTAGAAAATAAAAACTCTTTAGAAAAAAAACACAAAAAAAAACAATCTTTTTGTCAAAAATATACCCAATATAAACTTGTTACTTTTATAAGAACAATAAAAGTTTTCAAAGAATCATTTTTTATAAACCTAAGTTATTATTTTATAAATAGAAAGCTCATAACTAACCATATTTCAAAACTTGATGAAAAATAAAAACAATTTGTCTAAAACAATAATTTAAAAATGCAGCAATAATGAGAAATCATGATATGTAATCTTTACAACTAATAATGCTTTTAAAAGAACATTAACAAAAGTACGATAACAACTGTCATTGAAGCTTTTTTAACATCAGTTTTATAAAAGAAAAAGTCTGAAGAATATTGTGCTAAATATTCCACTTTTTTTACTAGGGGTACACCAATGACTACTTTTGGTCAATACTGATTGGTTGAGGCTGATACCGATGCATTGATTAAAAAGCGGCAAAAAATAGCAAACTTTTAAATAAAAATAGATTAAGCACATATTATACATCAAAATAGGGCTTCAAGAAATTCAAAATTGGGTATCAAGGAACATTCAAAATAGGGTCAAAGAATTCAAAATTGGAACTTTTTTTCTTTTTTGGAATACTCTAAGCATATACGCGTTAGAGAATTTTAACGACTGTAAA